GCTGGGGCGCCCGGCGGGCCCACTAGCACGGGGACGGCCTCCGGGCGGCTGGTGTGAGGAAGACGCGCTGTCAGGTGTGTAGCGGCGCCGGTGGCGGGTCGCGGGCGGGGGTTTCACCCCGCGGCGGAATTCATCGGCCCCCCACTTCCTGCTGCGGAACCGAAGCCCAGAGCCTGGCCCGGTTAAGCGGGGCTGGAACGCCAAGCCCGGCGGAGGTGGAACGGGAGCGCGGGGTCCTGTAAGAGGCGCCGAGGGAGGCCCGGGAGGGAGTCCCCGCGCCGGCTTGGGGCGAGGGCGGGGCCGGAGCTGGCGGAGGACGCCGGGGTAACGGGGCATCACACTGGGCTTCGAGTTGGTGTGAGACCCGGCGGCTGGGTGGCCGAGTGGAAGGGGGTGTTGAAAGCTTGAGGCTGTAGACAGGGTGGATCTGACTGGAGTTGGGGGCCAGTCCGTGAACTGTGAGGGCGGAGGGGCGTGGCCGGGGTTCGGAGCCCTCGGCCTGATTTATTCTTTAATGCGCCCCCCCCTCCGCCCCTCTTGTGTTTTGCCTCGCCGCTGGTTTAAGGGAGGGAGTGGGCGCATAATTCCTTCTCTCCCAGGCTGGCATTCTGAAGCGGGCACTCTGACGAGCCTAGATCAGTGGCCTGCAGGGAGGGTGCAAGGACACCACATTTCTGTTCTGTCGGTGCTGTCAAATGTATCCTGAGCATCTGGGAAGAATATTTAGTTCAGGGATTGGCTCATTGTGGACGCAGGTCCACGGTGGTCTTCAACAGCTTCGGGGGCAGAGGGTAAGGGGCAAGCTGAAAGTACTGGTTCTCCAGCCCTTGCACTTATGGCATGGCCCAGGGTGTCCAGCCAGAGTGGCCGGAGAGATTCCATGGCACAGCAGAGAAAGTGCTGCAGGCACTAGATTGTCAACGTTGTCATCAAGGGATTGAGTAATAGTGTCATGTGACACTGTTTGTTTTCCGTCAGTCATGCATTAGGGAGCTCTATAAATAGACATCCAGGTAAGGCCAGTAGAAATAGTAGGGTGCTGGTGGGTGCTGTGAGACTTTTCCCCTGATTTAATGAGGCTCCCCTTTGGGACACTGTTTAAAGATACTTAAGTGATTCAGATACCACTAAGAGCCATTACAACTCTTTGCAAAGTTCTTTTTAATCCCTTAGATCCTAGGACAGGCCATAGGATGTAGGGATGAAATTAAATCATCATGGACACTCCATGGGGGGAGACACTTCCTCTGCTATTACCCTTCAGGCCCAGAGGCTCAGCCCCTGATGGGGGGTGTGGACAAGGACCCTGCCTTTTAAAGGTATTTGACTTGCTTGGAGTATACTGTTGAAGAGATTGTTAGGCCAGGGAAGATTTCTGCTTCTTCCTATATTCCAAAAAGCTTACTAGAAAGGAAGAATTGTTAGCAGTTTTTTTCAGCAAACATCTATTTGGTCAAGATGGAAATTGGAGAGTGAGCACACAGTTGATAAATGAATTTAGCATTTTCTTTGACTTTGCTATAATGATCCCTGTGGGCCCTTTATTTAAATTCAGTTTATTCAGTTCCTGTGACACTAGACTCTGGTAGAAATTGAATAGAATAACGAACCAACCTCAAGCTATCCAGAGTTCTGATTCCACATGTTGTGGACTTTGGGAGGGGTGGGAGGTTTGCCACCATTCTCAGCTTTCGGATGTCACTATGAGAAGCAACATACTTGATATCACTGGCTTGTGAGGACTGGAGAGAGGCTTTGTTTTTTACCTAGTATCTAGGGTACCTCACTGTTTTCCAGTGGCGGCCTAGGGCTATGGCACTTCTGGTCCAAGTAGTCAAAATTCCTGTCAGGCAGGAGTAGTTTTCATTAAAAAAAAAAAAAATTACTCCTAGTAGTAGCCTGTGTTGATTCTGGGTGATGAGCTAGCTTGGTAACATCACCACTAGTCTTCTCCACGTTTAAGGCGAGAAACCTGTAGGCTTAGTTTATAATCTGAAAGGTGTAATTGGCTTGATGCGGGTGGCCCTGTTTAACCAAGGTGAAGACTTCATATTTTTAAATATTTTATATTTTACAATGATATTTGAATATAAATATACTGCAAGAGCTCCTTTATTAAATGTTGTGGTAGAAGTGTAAAACCTCAGCGAAGACTGCACTCAGATACTGTTTTAAGAGGCAAGAGGCCAGGAATTCCAAATCCTCTTTTGTGATGTTTTGACGTTGACTGTAATTTGCTTGATCCTCCCTCCTCCTTGTGCCATAGACTGTTGATTTTAGAATTAACCTTTATTTTCTTTCTTTACCTAGAAAACGTCAGGTGCAGAACTGGAGTATGACTGCCGTTGTCCTGCCCAGCTCATTTGGAAATGACCTTGCAGTCTCTGCTCTAGGCTGGACAGTGGATGTGTGAGTCTGTCAGGCATAAAGGTTTGTGCTAATGCTCTGCAGTTGGAGTTGAAACTGTTCGAGTGCTACTTTCAGATGTCTTGCTAAAAGGGGTCTTTTTTCTCTTCCTTTTTGTGCCTCTCAAAGGAAGATGTGGTCTCCTTTTCCAGGGTTTACACCCTGATTGCACCTCTGGCCTAACTTTGGGTCCTGACAGCACTTAGCTCCTTAGCGATCACCTCACCTCCTCTTAAACAATCATTTTCCTTGACTTTGCTGTGGTGATCCCTGTGGGCCCTTTATTTAAATTCTGTTTATTCAGTTCCTGTGACACTAGACTTGGTTAGAAATTGTGGGGCCATGGGTGTGAGTGGGTACCATGGAAATTTTTACCTGAATTAATGAGGCTCCCCTTTGGGATCACATTTAAAGAAGCTATAAGGAGTTGTGTTTCCAAACTCACTTGTCCATAGGTACCCAGAATGGTCTTTTTCTTTTTTATTGTGACAACTGTCATCCCTCTAAATTCATTTACCAACTGTTGTAGACACAGGGGATATTGCAAGTAACAAGCAAAGTCTTCCCCTCACCCAGGCTGTTCTGTCTTTCTGCTTGATCATTGATTTACATTTTCTCTCCTACATTTGTTGTAACTCTCCATGGACAGAGACCATTTTGTGTTATTGTCCCTCTACCTGAAGCAGTGCTGGTCTTAAGGTGCTTAGTCAGGGTTGGCTGGGTGTCTCCCCTCTGCAGGCCAGAGGGCGGATTGACGACACTTACCCAGTCCCTGCGCTGCAAAGGAGTGGGCAGGTTCTTGGTGTGAGCACATGCTGACCTGCTGGTGGTATTTCTCCTTCTCCCCCACACAGGCCTCGTGCCCTCCCCAAGGCACCATGAACGCCATCGTCGCTCTCTGTCACTTCTGTGAGCTCCACGGCCCCCGCACTCTCTTTTGCACAGAGGTTCTGCATGCACCGCTTCCACAGGGAGCTGGGAATGAGGACAGCCCCAGCCAGGGTGAACAAGCTGAGGAAGAGGAAGGTGGCATTCAGATGAGCAGCCGAATCCGAGCTCACAGCCCAGCAGAAGGTGCCAGCGCAGAGTCGAGTAGCCCAGGGCCCAAGAAGTCAGACATGTGTGAGGCAAGTGTCTTTTAGAGTAGGGGACTACATTACCTGTGGGGGAAGATAGGGCTGTGGGTAGCCGTGCTGATGCTGTGTGTTCACCTCCCTGGATGGTGCAACAGGAGACTTGTTGGGACGGAGAGCAGTGGGTATGACCACACGGAGCTCTGAATGGAGGACCATTCTCCAGGAGGGTCAGGAGAGGTCTGCCGTGCCATGTGGGTCAGTTCCCTGGCCCGGAATCTAACTTGCTGAAGCAGCTGCCGCAAGAGCTCTGAATGGAAGACCATTTTATGTCCTTTATAGTCCCTTCCCTTTGTCTCAGCTTTACCTTTTTCAATCTCTCTCTTTTTAAAAATAATATAATAGGTTGTTTTTACATCATTTTGTGCATTTTTCATCAGTTGTAATCCCTTTGAGCTTCCTATCACCAAATCACTTGTGTGCCATCACCATAGTCCAGTGCATTTCCCTCCCCCCACTGTTTTTGATCCCATTTCCCACTCCACCCCCACAAAATGTCTCTGGTATATAGTTGTTCATTATTATTATTATTTTCTCTCGCTTGGTCCATTATACTCCTGCTGTGAGTGAAACCATCCGTCAACCTACTCTTTTTTTTTTTTTTAAAGATTTATTTTATTTATGTATACAGAGCTGGTACAGGCCAGAGGTGCAGGGGCAGTGAGAGTATTCATGAGAGGCAGAGCAGGGAATAAAACAGGAGATCAATGAAGTACACTGCTGAGGAGAGCTACAGGAGGGTCAGGAGAGGTCTGCCGTGCCATGTGGGTCAGTTCCCTGGCCCGGAATCTAACTTGCTGAAGCAGCTGCCGCAAGCTTCACAGAGCTGCAGTTTAACCCGTTGCACCACCAGGCCCTCCACCTGCTCTTTTATCAATAAACAGTTGCTATCACCATGGCATTTCATAGCAAGAGGCCTCATTTTACAGAAATCTTTCATCCCACCCTTCAAAAACTTACCTGTTCTAGGCCCTTGTTCTGTCAAGCTAGTGCTCTCTTGGAGTTTCCTTCTCATAGTATCCTGACCTTCCTTTTTGGGGTGTTTCGTGATCTGGGGAATGAAATTTGGTTTCCTTAATAGGCTGCTCCTTCACCTGATGGCCCTGAACCATGAAATCAGTGATGTTGGACTTATTCCTGCAGTGTGAGCAGGAATCCATTGCTTTACTTTGTTCCCATTGAGAAGCACATCGTAGGCATGAGATTGATTGATTTATTGCTAGAAACACATGTCAGGGATTGAGGGGAGGGAACAGAAGATAGGGAGAACCTTCCAGCTGCAGACACAGACCACCTGTTAGGGTGAAAAGGAGGAAGGCAGACTGGCCATGGTCAGACTGGACTGACCGTGGAGGGTGGCTTGCCTATGTGCCCCCTTGCTCAGTCTGTTGGGGACAACCTGAGAGAGATGGCAGTTGAAGCCACCAGTGCAGTGACTCCTGCACCAGCGGGTCAGAACTTGCCTTTTCAGGCTGCTGCACCAGCACTGAGGTCTCGTCTCCTCCTGAAGCCCTTGTCCCATGGTTGTGTCGGGACCATGATAAAGACTAACACAGAACACCATGTGAGCTGCTTCCCAGTTCTCGGCGTTTGGCCATATGTGAAATGCGGAGTCTCGCTGTAATTTTCTCATGACTGTTCCTTGGATTAAGTGAAATGAATGCGGAGCTTTGGGAATGTGTGCTCCTTCAGTGCAGTAGATTGAATCTCATTCATGCCTCTGACAACTTTTGTGATCTCTCCTAGTTTCCCTGTTCAGCAGATGCTGAAATATTGAGATAAAGATAACTCTAGAGGTCAGCTATTTTTGTGTGGAAATAGTTTGAGTTTTCTAATTCAGATTTGCCCAAGAGTAAGAAGGTTTGTTGCCCACTTCCTGACTGGTCTTCTTATCCTTCTCGAGAGCAGGGCTGCCGGTCACTTGCTGCAGGGCATCCTGGGTATATCAGCCACGATAAGGAGACCTCAATTAAATACGTTAGTCACCAGCACCCCAACCACCCCCAGCTCTTCAGCATTGTCCGCCAGGCCTGTGTCAGGAGCCTGAGCTGTGAGGTAAGCACCTGTGACCCTGGGGCCAGAGGGGACAATTCTGCAAGAATCATGCACATCCAGCTGAACAGATCCAGTTGGTCATGAAGAAGAAAACAAAAGTCCATTCTGTCAACAGAGACAGATGGATCAGTGCAGCAGGACAGCAGCCAGTTCTCCAGAACAAGCTGCCTCAGTTCCTTGTTTTTTGTGTAGTTATAAGCTTTTCCATTTTAAGCACTAAACTTGTCAATTTGTTCATTCTTTAAAAAAAAAAATTATTTATGCATACAGACACTGGGGTACAGGCCAGAGTTGCAGAGGTTGAGAGGATTCACCAGAGACAGAGTGGGGAGTAGAACAGGCAGATGTACTGAGATACACTAAGACACACTGAGGGGAGCAGCAGCCAAGACAGGAGAAGTCTGCTGTGCCCTGTGGATCAGCTCCCTGGCCAGGGATCAAATTTGGGATACAGTGTCTGTTGATAGTGCTAGATTTAACACCTTATGCCACCAGGGAGGCCCAATTTGTCCATTCTTGATGGACATGTTTTTAAGATAAGAACTATATCAGGGGGCCTCTCTGATGGCACAATAGTTAAAGTGCGAGTCTATGAAATGATCCTCAGCCACTGCAGCACTAGTTTGATCCCTGGCCAGGGAGCTGACCCACATGGCGCAGCAGACCTCTCCTGACCTGCTGCTGTTCCCCTCAGCAGTGTATTTCAGCCATTCTGCCTGTTCTGCTCCCTACTCTGTCTCTGGTGAATCCTTTCATCCCCTGCAACTCTGGCCTGTACCCCAGTTCTTGTATGCATAAATAAGTCTTTATGTATTTTATTTATTTATTTACATCACTCTTCATTTTGTATTTTCCTTCTCAGTTGTATACCATATGGGCTTCCTACCATCAGTCACCTGTGTGCTATTGCCATAGTCCTGTGCTCTCTTCCTACCCCAGCTTTTTTTTTTTTAGATTTATTTATTTGTGCATACAGAACTGGGTTACAGGCCACAGGTGCAGAGGCGGTGAGAAGCTTCACCAGAGACAGAGTGGGGAGCAGAACAGGCAGATGGACGAAGTACACTGCTGAGGGGAGCAGCGGGCGGGTCAGGAGAGGTCTGCCACGCCATGTGGTCACCTCCAGGCAGGCGGGGATCGAACTCATGTGGAAGTGGCTTAAGCTTCTTAGTGCTGTGCTTTAACCCGCTGCGCCACCAGGGAGGGCCCCACCCCGATTCTATCCCATACCCTTTCTACCCCATACCATGTCTCTGTTTTATAGTTTATTGTTCTCATTTAATAAATAAATCTTTAAGGAAGATCATGTCAGACATCACCTTTTTTTATTGTGTCATTTGTCACTACCTCGCACAGTTGCTAACTGTGTGAACTATCAGAACCTACTGAAGAGTGAGTCAGTTTGTGCCTAGACAGCAAGGCTGCTCCAGTGTAGTTCACGTCTTAGCTTTTACATTACCGTGTCACCAAGAATTCGTCATTCAGTTACTACAAGTTGCCATCACTGTGCCCATTGGCCAGGCAGGCAGAGCTCTGCGCTGCTGCGCTCAGTGGCTACTGCTGTGTCCCTGCCTTGCATTCTCCTTCATTGTGACCTCCTGCTGGTAATCTAGAAAGCAGGTGATCATGTCCTCAGACTAGTGTGTGAGGTTAGAATGAAGATCACAAGGGAGACCTGAGTTCTCTTCTTCAAATCAAGAATATAAGTTTGATTATGTGAACTCTGCAGTGACCATTTGGGGTCTTAATCCTCTAGCATATTCCAGATGAGTGATGTGGGCAAGCTTGAGTCTGGGATAGATGCAATACTTGTATAGTTGTTATTTGTGGCTCAAGGTGGAAAAATGTAGAGAACCACTTCATTGGCCCTTGCGTTCCATGAGAACAAATATTATCTTTAGAAAGTTTCTCACTTTTCCTATAGTTAACTGGCTAAGTAGTACAAAATGAAAAGTCAGAGAAGGATTTTTCTATATTACTGAGGCAAGAAGGGGAGACTGTGTCCCTGAGAAACCGTTGTTCTGTCCTAGGTCTGCCCTGGCCGCGAAGGCCCCATCTTCTTTGGGGATGAGCAGCATGGCTTTGTGTTCAGTCACACCTTCTTCATCAAAGACAGCCTGGCCAGGGGCTTCCAGCGCTGGTACAGCATCATCGCCATCATGATGGACCGAATTTACCTCATCAACTCCTGGCCTTTCTTGTTGGGGAAGATCCGAGGAATCATCGATGAGCTCCAGGGCAAGGCTCTCAAGGTGACCCCAGATCAAGGGAGAGCAAGTGGCAGTATTGGGGGGGTGGCATTTACACTAGGGGAGAGCAAGAGGCTGGGGAGTTTTATTACTTCCTGGTCCCTTGGCCACTGCTCTGCCTGAATTGTAATCCACTGGCTTCAAAGTTGGGGTCCTGGCACTAGGCCTCACAGCCGATCAGTCCTGCTTGTTTTACTCATCTCGCCTGACTCCTTGTGGTCTTGGCTCTTGTTCAGAGAAGCTCTGGCTTCCTTGCTGTGGACAGAGCCCTTGTTTCATCCCTAGTGTCTTTGCTTCCTTAGACCTTCGTTTCAGAAGACTGCCCAGTAGTCATGTTGCAGGCCCACCACCTAATGTAGATCTCCAGCTGTGGCCCTGCTGCGCGGGAGAGGCCAGGGTCTGCTCTGGTAACAGACAGCCTCAGATATTAGCCACTTAGAAGCCTGAAGTTGTTTCCTGTTCATGTCGTGTCCGTGCAGGGAAGGGACGGGCCTGCTCCTTGTGCTCCTTGTGGAGCAGCACCCACACGGGTGCTCACTTGCCCAGCTGGAGGGCACAGAGGGTGCTGGAGCACCTTGTTTGTCCTACTTTGTTGCCAGACTGCCCATAATGTAGGGTCTGAGAAGTGAGGAGGCCTCCCTGTGCTGGGAAGGGGAGGGCTGGAGGTAGCGGGGGTCACTCACCACTGGGCACATGCGCACCTGAGTGCGTCAAGTGCCCGATGAGTTGTAGCAGATCGCCCTGGAGAAAACCGGTTCCTCGTCTCAGGTAGCGTCTGATCTGGCTGGGGAAGTAAAGCCATTCTGTTGACATTCTGAGGTGGGTGGCACCTGTTGTACGCTGCACCAGGAGAGCAGAAGGGTCAGTGTTGGGGGGAGGATTGTGAAGCCACCTGTGAACAAGCTAGATCTGGGCTGCTTGGCTGGTTGCCTTTGCAGGAGAGCCACCCCTTGCCCTTGCATTTCAGGTGTTTGAAGCAGAACAGTTCGGATGCCCACAGCGTGCCCAGAGGATGAACACGGCTTTCACACCATTCCTGCATCAAAGGAATGGTAATGCTGCCCGTTCGCTGACGTCCTTGACAAGTGATGACAATTTGTGGGCATGTCTTCATACTTCCTTTGCTTGGTAATGAGATTCTTGGGTCTTTCAGCAGTAAGAATGGTTCCAGTGTGTTAGTGGGATTATGCATGGGTTTGAGGAAAGCTGTCCTTGGATGAGGCCCTGCGTGCCTCCGGGCGAGTGTTGGTGGCGAGCACTGAACTGCCTCCTTTCCTAGT